GAAGTGCTTAGGAAGATTTTCACTTGTTCTAGGGCAATTCCGAGCTGTCAAGGATTCCACTGTAATTCAAGCATTATTGGTCGGCTTCTCTTTTCATTCTGCATCCAGGACCGGAAGTGCTGAAAGATCTCTTCAAGCATGTTTCTCTCTAAAAAATTTAAGTAATTTATCCATCTAAAATGTGATATAGTTTCTCTCTCTAAAACTTGAAATTTGATATAGTTTATCTCTCTAAAAAATTTGAGATAATTTCGTTGTCTAAAAATTTTTAATAGTTTTTCTCTCTAAAATTTGATATAGTTTATCTTTCTAAAATTTTAAGATACTTTATTTTTCTAAAATTTGATATGGTATATCTCTCTAATTTTGTGGATGTTTTGACATAATTAATTGCATTTAATAAAGTGGGCAGTGTATGTAAATAGTATTGTCGCAAGTTGTGTTCCCTCTTTCATGCTTACACAAAACAATGTTTTGGATAACTCAATTTTTTTCTTGATTTTGTATACCATGTTTTGGCCCTCTTTCTTGATAAAAAAATATGGTTATGTATCCAAAAAGTTGCCAAACATGTTTTTACACAAATTAACCTGGTTATACAAAACATGGTTTTGGATACCTAGTATCCAAACGAACCCCTTAGAGATTTCTAAAAACAAGGACCAGATTGAAAGAGTTAGGGCCAATATACCCTTTATCATTCACTTTCAGTGCAACACTATTGAGAGAGCAGAATGTAGTGACTTCTGAAAAATGAGTGCCCGATCAGTACACAAATTTGACAGATGAAATCAACTGATAGAACCGCTTAGTGCAATATTTGTCCTAATGCTTGCATTTGGAGGAGCCGCAATGAATGTGATAATAAATACAAAAGTTGCGGTCTATAAGATTTCAAAATATTTCTTAATTTGAAGCCCAAACATTTAGCCACAATTGACTCTGTTTATGTAGTTTTTTATAGCAATCAAGCGTTTCAACATGGAGCACAATAATTGTTATTGAGCTTGATCTTCAACGCGTATGCTGCCGCTTTACATGCATCCATTAACATTTCGGTTTTAGTAAGTACTTTTGACCACTTCGTTCATTGGTTAGTACTTTCAACCAATGGTTTAAAAAACGGATCGGTGACCCGGATCGGGCTTCCAAAAAATCGATTCGGATCGATAAATCGACGATCCGGATCGAATATCGGGTGAATCGGTCAGAATAAAGTTTAAAAAAAAGCCAAAAAAATTATTAAAATTCATTATAAATATTATTTTTTAGGAATTCAATAAAAAATGAGGTACTCCATTAAGAATTTTCATGTTTTTGAATGAATATGCAAATATTGATATGTTCTTTCCCTGCATGAATCGCCATTCAGCATTTAATTTACATCACACAAAAGGATAAATATAGAATTATCATGGAATAAGTATATCAACATACATGGACTACAATAAAGCATAAAATTAATAACATACGATCTAAAAATAAAATGATAGACGACGTTATTGTTCTTCTTGGTCACGTTGGTGCCATTGATTGAATTTGTTTAACAATTCATTGATTCGATCTAAAAACGAATCATTGATATTAGCAGGCGTCTGACTATTCTCAAATCTCTGAGTATTAGTGTTTTGTTGTGTTCCCAATCTAAAATCCCCGAAGATTGTCAATCCGTCATGCTCACCTGCACTGTTGCTGTTGGGACTCGATATCTGAATAATATGGCTGGGATAGGGTGGCATCAGAATCATCATCTCTCTCATTTTCTCTTTGAATAATATGGATTAAAAAATAATAATAACAAATTTTCAAAAAAATCGATCATGGATTAAAAAAAAAAATCACAAATTTTCAAAAAATTCTATCATGGATTACAAAAAAAAATTCGATCATGGATTACAAAAAAAAATCACAAATTTTCAAAAAATTCAATCATGGATTACAAAAAATTCGATCATGGATTACATAAAATTCAATCATGGATTACATACAATTCGATCATGGATTACAAATAAAAAAAAAACATAAAAAAACAAAAAATTCGAACGTGGATTACAAGAACAGAAAAAAACAATTCGATCATGGATTACACGAAAAAAAAACAAACATTTCGATCATGGATTACAAAAAAGTCGATCATGGATTACAGAAAATTCTATCATGGATTACAAAAAATTCGATCATAGATTACATAAAATTCGATCATGGATTAAAAAAACAAAACACAAAAAAAAAAAAAGATTCGATCGTGGA